AGATATTTTTAGCCTATGTAGAAACGACTTTAAAACAATTTTTTTATGATAATGTCTTCTGGGAATATAGTTTGAATATTATCCTTCATATTTGTCATATCCTATTAAAATTCTTGGATAACCACAATAATATGAAGTTAAAAAAATGTCCCAATGGGACATTTTTTGAAATGATGGATAAAAAAATAAAGCTGTCAGTTGAAATGGAGGCAAGTATTATAAAATAATGCTTTATTATCAGCTTGTTCATATAGGTTTTTCAATTTGTGTAAAATGCAAGTACTGACTGTAGGTTTACTAACTGTCGATTTTGAGTTGTCAATTTCAAATTTTCTAGTTAATCTTTTGTGACTCACAAATCTGGTTATTGTAGTATTCTTTTTCTTTGGTCAGGTTTTATACACCCACATGGAAATCTGGTCGACTATTGCCTCCGTCGGTCCGTCTGTTCAGCCACAATTTCTTGTGAACACTCTACAGACTACTTTATTATCTGAAATGCAATATGTTGTTTACATTCGTGAGACGGAGAAGGCTAATTAATTTCAACAGTTTCTGTTAATTACTTCTAGAGTTATGGCTCTTGTTTCACTATGTAGAACCCAGTGAACGCTTTTACGCAAAATATTATCATCCGATGCATTATTTAGATTAGAGAAAGGAAGAAGCCTATTGAATTTCAGCCATTTCGGTTGATTACTTCTAGAGTTATAGCCCTTGCTTCACTTAGATGAACCGTGTGACAAAAGGTATCATCCGATCTGTATGATGTTTATATGATTAACTTTAGTTGGTGAAATGAAGAAGTCTTTTGAAATTCAACAGTTTCTGTTTATTGTTTCTAGATTTACGGCCCTTGTTTCACCTTGTGAAGGCAAGTTATCATCCGATCTGTATGAAATTTATATGCATTATTTAAATCAGTCAAGTGAAGAACCCTATTTCAGCAATATTTGTTGATTACTTTTAGAGTTGTTGCCCATGTTTCACTTTGTAGATGGAAGCCACGGTGGCTAAGTGGGTAAGACACTGGCTCGCTAGCCTGGAGGTCGCATGCTCAATCCCTGCATGATCGAGGGCCTGACAAGGACAGCTGTCTTGTCTTTCGGATGCGCCGAAAATCCGAGGTCCCATGTATACATTGGCATGCATGTAAAAGATCTCTTAGCAGTTGGGATTCGATATAAGACTAGACCATAGTGCCGCTGCCTGGGCAAAATTTCCCTAATAGCACACTGTAGAACCTTGTGAATGCTCTTTCGACAAAAAGTTATCATCCGATCTGTATGAAATTGATATCAGTGTCATGTAATTGTTCCTATTATTTACAAAAGAATAAATATGCAATAACCCTTGTCAAATGTTCTGTGGGCGTATCTTTTTCAGATCTGCAGAAATGCTTGTGTGATTATCAAGGAGAAAGAACCCCATTGAAATTATTGAGTTATCTCTTCATTTACATTTGGGCTTATCAAATCTAGTGAGCATGATAAAGTACAACAGAGTTCTTGATAAAATATATTAAAACACAGTGAGATTGTGCTTTGCAGAGTTATTATTCTGGTCATTTCTTAACTTTGAATTTAGTGAACACTTTGTTAGATTTTTTAATACTTACAAGATTTGTGTTGACATTCTGTTTATAGCTAGCACAGGTGACTTTGCTCCTGCTGGACATATTTGGGGTGCTGAAAGGTCATGAATAGAGGTTGGGTTATTTGTGAAGTCATGGTTTATAAATACTATAATATATATTTATTTATATACACACTACAATAGTGTGTGACACACCACCATACACTCCATTAGTGTCACTAATTAAAACCAATCAATAATTACACTACATTATCCATAATTACTACAACAAATGATCATTTTGTTATTATGATTATATCAGGAACAATGCTACATTTTAGAAATATTTGTCGTAATACAAGTAGTTCAGATTAGTACTTGTAGGTCTGCCAAAACCTATTTGAATTTTGTAGTAACCTAAAAGATATTAAACATCAATATGTCCTTTAAAAAGTTTTGATATGAAACCTAAACAATCTAAATTTAGTTGTTAATGCAATTCCATGAACCTCATCTTCATGTTTGGGCTATAAATGAATAGATTATGTTTCTAAAAGTGAGAAGGTCTGTTCCAAAATGTAGCAAACACTATTTGAGAATCTGGAGAAATAATATGCAAAAATAAAAAGCATAAATAGCTCTCTCATTTGTGCATTTGTAAATAAATACTATTTAATTTGTTTTACAGTTTACGGTGTTTTAGGACATAATTTCTACAAGGTTTTTGAAAGCCATAAGCTTACAATAATATTTTTCGTATAAATGCAAGTCAGATAAAGTCAGTAAATATTTAATACCCCCATCAATATTATTTTACTAAAAGAATCAAAACCATTACAAAATATACACATATTTATCATTTTGCACAAGTTAAAAATCTAATCCTCTACATAATAAACAAGTTTCATAACAAATATTAATATGCAGTTGTTATTGCAATCAATTTATATTTGTATCAGGTCGACCGAGCCTGTGGCAATTTTCCCAGGTTGACATACAGCACTGATCTAATATCAATTGCAATTTCACCATATTCAAAATTAATATTTCTCCATTTTGTGAAATATGTATGCATTTGCTACTACCAAGTGTCTCCTTTTAAGGTCGACATAACCAAAAATAAAGCGATAAATCTTATGAGTAATATTAATAATTCACTAAGATATTCGTTATTTTAAGCGGATGTTCTATCTAAAAGTAATTTTAGCTGTCCAATTCTTAATTTAAAGCAGCAGGATGCCATTCGAGTGTAAATTGTCAATAATTTGATAAAACTTTGCAATATGTTAAAAAAGATTTAGAGAATATTCAGGTTCAATAATTAATAAGAGGGTGATTAGTCATCAAGCTTATAAATAATGCTGAATTTCCGCCATAATTCACAGGTATAAGGCATGTACTTGTTAATGATGGTAATGATCTGTAATAACAGATTTCAGATGGCGTATGAATGAAGGTAATCATTGATTATTGGTGACATTATATACCCTCATTTACCACATTGTGTAATATGACATTCAAGGTCATGCATTTTAGTTGCACAGGTTATTGCATTCGATAAAATACTTTGTCTCCATCTTTATCATTGTCTTCACTCACCACAGTGAATGACACACTAGGTTAATTGTTGGTTTTAACAATTACATTGTAGGCATGTTTTACAAAGGAGACGTTAAACCTGATGCAGTGATGACTGTTGAAATTTGCTTTGTTTTATATGCCATCGCCAAAAAGCATTTGCACTTTAAATGGCTCAGTATGAATCTAGTATTATACATGTATCTGCAACTGATAAGGTTAAAATTCAGTTTGAAAAGATTTTTGAATTTTCCAGGATTTTCCAGACACTACACACATTTGTTTTAAAGTATATTTCAATTACAAATGTACCAGATTTGCCCTTCCTCTTATTCACTGAACAATAGCTTTTTTCACCCCAATTCAAATTTTTCCATGCTTTGTGATTTTTCCTTCAAGCCAGACTAATATTGAGCATATGAATAAGAGTTAGAGGTGTGTTGTGGAGAAATAACCCACTGTGCTTTCCTATCCTACCACGCACATCTTTATAAAAGACACCTACATACTGTCTTTTACTGAACAAAGAATAGTGATAAAAATTACATTTTGAGAATGTGTCATTTTTATATTTATCATTCTCAAATTTTTTTATTATAACTTAATTCTCCAAAGGACTAAAGTAACAGTTTTAAATGAGTCCGTGCAATGAAATGTGGTTGGGTTGTACCTAGTTGACATCTTTTAGTCAGTCTGTGAAAACATGGAATTATAAGGAAAATGTTTTTTAGTTGTAGGGCCTATATTAATGGCTAGAGGGATTTAACTGGAATACAAATTTGGAAACATGCAACATTTAGAATCATTTCACTTAAAAGGACAAAGTTTGCTAAATCAAGATAAAATGTTTGATGGCTTTCCAGATCTCCAAGCCAGTTAGATATTGTTGAACTGTAACTGAGATATTGTTGAACTGTAACTGACAAGACCTGTAAAAGATCATAAAATTTGTCCCAAAGTGGTCGTACTTGTTTTTTTATGGGTATTCAATACTGTATCCAGCATGGTATCCCAGAGGTATGAGATTAACAGGGGAGATATTTGGAGAGTGATTTTTTTCAATGTAGAAAAGTCATAAAATATTCTTTACATTGTTTGTGCACCTTTTGATGTTCTGTGATGAAGCATGTAGTGGTGACCATTATAAAAAGGATATCACCAGGAGATTAGTATTTGACTTTTCTTTTAAATTCGGCCAAATTGTTTTTTCTTCTGTTTTTTTCATCTGATGTGTGTCCATTGACTGTATTGTTATCTACAAGTATACTGGGGGATTAAATATCAATATTTGAAAAGGCATTACAAAGCAAACAATTATTTAATTCATTTTCCAGTTAGTTGTCAGGACACAAGAGACCACGCATTCAAACATGCATCAAAAATCTCCAAATAATCCATATATTTCTCGAATAATTAAAACATCAGGTCATGAAGGATGTCGTCTGCTGTGTAAATAAAGTTCTGAAACATAAAAAAACATCGCTTAATAAAATAAATGGACATTACTATAAGGATGTGTTATATGAAAGAGTTCAATATTTTCATCTTATTATCTGTACTTTGATATTTAATACCTACAGATTTGCAAACAGTAAATAGTGTTTTTGTTGAGATGGGACATGTGATTATGTTGTAAGGTTATGTCGCTTACTAGTCACCTTCCATCCTTTAGACTAGTAGGAGCCATATACCTACCTCAACAATATAGGTAAACATTGATATAATTTGTTATCACCCATCGTCTTATTGGCCATTGGTTATCAACATACACTGAATCCTTTAACACGGCACACTCGTATTATAGCTTGACACACTCGTATTATAGTCTTTTGTTATTCTATTGACAGCAGGTGAGCCGTCTTGTCATTTGAACAACACTCCAACAGTCCATCTTCTATACCTGATGTGAAAATATCAAGCTAACCATTATAAAAGTGTGGCTATCTCATTCAATTGTGCTGATTGTTTGGAGTAATTTTTTTGATCAAATCTTGTGGAATTTAATAGAGGTTTATTAAGGTAAGTGTGATTATATTTTTATATACAGTATTTTGGGATGGAATTGACAGTCTAGTTATCTTAAGTCGTAAGAACTCCATATTGTTTTTGAGTAACATAATTTTAATACTCCTACATGTATTTACATTGAATAAATACTGAATGATACATGGGCTTGAGGATAGATATTACAATTTTTATTTTTGTTCACAATAAAATAACTGTCTTCTTGGAATTACACAAATGTAAAACTGAAATATACCAACATACAAAGTCTTGTTTTAGTTCAATATTTTCATTAATACTTCATTACTATCAGAATCATTATTCTGTTCCAAAAAATTCAATTTATTTGTTTTGTGAGTTATTAAATCTGGCATCTGATGAATAACATTCCATTTACAAAATTTCTTAGTTGTAATTATTAACAATCTTCTTATTGGTTCAAGTGAAACTCAATTCATTCTTCCATACATTCATATCAAAGAAGTGAGTTTAATTAAAGTATTAAGCCGAGATTAGAATTCGATGTGGGTACCTATAATTATAGTAGTACAAACATTTAATTACATTCAACATGTTTTAATCATGTGGTCAACCGTCCAGTTAACAACCAGCTTTATGGTATCCAACCGGTCATCACAAGCTTGGATTAAAGCAACAAATTGCTGCTTAAAACTGTGTTTTAAGGTAGAGTGGTTTTGATCATTTGTTTGATAAATTAGCTGTATGTGATTACAACACTGGTAGCTAACCTACCATTTGATTGATTACATAATACACTTCACATTGCATTGATATTGTTTAACTTAAAAGATTTTTTTCATATGATGAAACCTGGAACTCTTTGGAGTGTTAGCTATTTTTTGTTCAGTAGAATCAAAGCAATAAAGAATCAAAGGTTATGATAGACAGCATTTACTAAGAAAGAGTTGCACATCAATCTGATGATGGGAAGAGAAACAATATGTTTGCTGAATACAGAATTGTAGAAACAAGATTAAAAAAAAAAACATTTTATTTTAAATGTTGACTACAGTTAGGAATTAAATTGGGAAGGGATGTTGCACTAAACTTCACTTGAAGACAAAGTATTTGTACTGCACTTTATAACAGGCATCTGTAACTTTGAGTCGAACAAAGCTGAAAAATCTAATAATAAATGTAGATCAGATAGGTTATTTTATAACCCTAGTTTTGTTATTTAAATGATGAATATGAATGCAAGCAGATGGTATTTTGCCTGTTAAGGTTGATTAATGATAGCAGTAACCAGGCTACCCAGCAGGGAGAATTATAATTCTTTTTTTTTTTTCATTTTATTTTTCTCTCAAACAACCTACTCTAAACAATATGTTTCCCTGGCACCTCTTTTCTAAATTGTTTGTTAAACACTTGAAAACCAGATGTTCATTTTGTAAAAATATCACAGAAATAATTTTAGAAGACTAATGAAAAATTGACTTTTGGTGAAAAAGTATGTAGAAGATTGAATTAATCTTTGTTGTAAATAATCGATGCAAAACAGCCATGGTCAACAGGTGAAAATTGAACCCATTGAAACTCAACTTATTTCAACCGTATCCATTTATACCTTATGTTCTGTGTCATGGGAGCTAATGGCAATCTGTTGGCCGTGACGATTGACATATAATAGAGATTTTTCTTTATGAATACTTCACAAACTGCAGTTTATGTATGCATTAAGATGGTGTGCATGTGATTATATAAAATCTTATAATTATATCCATGAATTGTGGTTATTTTTGGTTTCTGTGAGTAGGTTTATGTATGAAAATGACGATGATAGTCAGTCATAAATATATATCTTAACGTTTATGACATATTTTTTAACAATACGTAACTAGGCCTTCAAGATCAAGAACTTTAGCAAATCTAATTAAGGATTCAGTCAACTTTGCGCTCTTCTTTCTGATATAACATATGAAAGATTAAGCATGTTTCATTTTGATAATATCTGGTAGTTAACTGTAGGAGTGGTTGAACGTTACACCCATTTCATTTTATTTCATTTCATTTCATTAACTGTCGTAGTAAAATCAAACTCATCATAGAGATTGTGGTGTTGGATTTAGAGCTATATTAAACTTTAAAACTGTTAAAACACAATCTATATGTTTCAGTGTTATTTATAAATTCTTAGAATACAATAGGAAACTATTATTACATTATATTTTATTGGTAGTTATTGAATGTGGCATTTATTTTATCTCTTATATAGTATATTATAAAGCAATAATATAAAAAAGTGACGACTTCCTCTTCCTTTTATCCAACGTTTCATTACCAATGTTTTCCTACGTTTTACACTTCATTTAACAGATGTCTAATATATGGCCAACAGCAATCAAGTCGGTTAAGAGAAATCAATATATAGTGCTAGTATTTCTGAAAGTCTTCGTCTCTAATCATACATACTACCCCATGTCCTTATAGACTAGCTTTCGTTTGCTTGACCAAGTCTATATTACAAAACTACAGACTGATTAATAACTACTTAATTCTGTCGGGCAGACCATTCTCCAACATCCGATTTAGCATGCAAATAATGATACTTAGTATAGCCATTGGATTATAGCCTTCTTGTTGAATGACCAAACTAGAAAGTAAAATGATAGTTTATATATTAATAAGCTGTACTTACAGGCAAGACTGATCTTGATGTATGTATTTGTATAAGGTTTTCATATCTTATAAAACCAATAGCTCTTTATAGGTGGCAGGGGAAATCTTCAAGGTGTAAAAGTCAGTTGCTAGGAATTCCTGAAGGGAACATTTCATCAGTAAGAAAAGTATTGTTGTGCAATCCAGAAGTTTAAAATGTGATCATCAATACTTTTTCAGACATATTCATTAATTTCTAGAATGAGTTCTTTAATAAATCCATATTATTAATGTGGTTTCAATGCAATCTTGAACATGTTCATATACTAAATCATGTACGTGATTAGATACATGGTATGCTTTATTCAGTATGTAAATCATGTCCATGACACAAGGATATAATACACCAAGATATTTGTATCTAGGCAATTTCTAAAGGTGTTAAGGCAATCTTTAAGACCATGAAATTAAAAAAGTCTTTTGAAATAGATCGAGACTGACCAGAAAGTGACCAGGTCAGGTCAGATAAGTTCTTGTTGATTTAATCACCTTGGGTGTAAAGACAAGTCCTCAATTCAAGTGTGTATCTTTTGTGAAGCAAAGCAAGATAAATAGATTGAATAAACATTTCAACTGTAAGATTAAAGATCATCATTGATGAATGTCATTAATCATGTAGGGGTTTAAGTTTAGACATTATAACATTTCAATCTTTCGTTTTATACACTGTATTTTATATTCTACCGGACTCAGTTTTACATAACGTCTTACAAGTTTTATCAATGTGTTGTGTTCTAAGTTGTGTATTAGAATGGTCAATGAAAACAGACCTGTTGCAATGATGCCAACACATCGTCCACTGTTCCATGTATAAACTCACTAAAATCATGTACATGTTGCAGCCAACATAAGCCATCAAAACAGCAGCTGCTCTGAATATATGTGTAATCTTATGCAGTGTAGAAAATAAAAACAATCAATACAAAAGGAAATAAAGATATAATTTTGATTTTATTGGTAAATCAGTGCACATTTTGAAAATAGTTTAATTGTTGCACTTGTTACCAGGGGCGTACATAACGATTTTGTTTGGGGGGGGGGTGTTTAGCCAAAATGCGACCGACTGATGCCCATACCCCTAGTACGAGTGACGCAGTCAGGAACCGCGCACCACAGGTGCGAGTTTTGTAGGGGCCATGTGCAGTAGCGGATCTAGATAGGGGTGTGGGGGGGTCCAAATCTAGGGCGCCACCCCAGCCACAATCCCACGCCACAATGAATGTCAACAAAATACTGGCTATAACATTAAGCGTCCCGGTAGAACATAGATGGTATTGTATAATTATATAGTTGTTTGCCGATCGTTGTCTCGCTGGAAAGCAGTTTTATTTAAGTTGACATAAAGTTTATGTCATATATGATTGTGCCTATAACACTGAGCAACCTGAGAAAATTTTGAAAAATTGAGTCAATATCTTGGCATTTGAGGTCATTGCTGGGAGAAATTCTTGTGGACGAGGGGACAAGAAATGTGAGTCAATTAGACAAAATCTCAGATCTGCCCCTGTCAGTTCCGCCTGTTTTGCAAGAGTTGACAGAACTTTTGTATAGTCTGACGCCCGCCAAGCCACACACCAGTAGAACTGACAATTCTACAGTTTTTTGACCCACGACTCACTCACTAGTGGTGCTACTAACTGGGCGATTCACTGTAACTGTGAATATGATAGTGATGAGATAGTATAAGACAGAGAAGGAGTTGAAGAATGATGGCATAATGGAATTGAGCGCCGATATGTATCTGAGCTTTTAATTTTTGAGGTCTGGGCCTGAGGGCACTTTACCTCAATGGGGCGCTAACTTGGTCTCTGAAATGCCCTGGACTGTGGGGAGAGATTTTGCAGAATTCTGATGGTCAGAAAACACCCCATTAATTCATTTAGTCTGAGACCGACTGCGGTGTGCACTTTTTTTTTGAGACAGACTATTTTTTTGCCTAGGGGTGAAAAATATTTTTTCAAATATAATAAATTGACATGGTTATTTTATACTAAAGTTTTGGGTGAGTAGAGGGACGTGTGCAGTGAGCACTTATTTTGATACTGACTGCTCATATCTTACGACCGACTGCACTGATTTTGCGACCGACTAGTATTTGGGATCTATTCTGGCATTATTTGTTTACCTCATTAATTCATTAAGACGGCGATGCATAATTTTGGGACCGACTGCAGTGACTGCACTTATTTTGAGACCGACTATTTTTCTCCCTGGGGGAAATTTTGTTCTTAGACCTACATACTCACAACCGAATAAGAGTGAAACGCATTAAGTTGACAAGGTTATTTTATACTAAAGTTTTGCGTGAGTAGCGTGACGTGTGCAGTGAGCACTTA